TCAACATAACCTGTTCTCCCTTTTAACGTAAAACTTTTGATGGTGGCTCAAGTGGTTCAGACGCTGAACTGCAGGCTGTGGAAGGTCAGTAGTTCAGCAGTTCGAGACCCAGGTGCCGCATGACGGAGTGAGCTCCCATCTCTAGTTCCAGCTCCTGCCAACCTGTTCGAAAGCAAGAAATTGCAAGTAGATAAATAGGGACCACTTCGGTGGGAAGGGAACAGCGTTCCGTGCGCCTTGGTGTTTAGTCATGCCAGCCACATGACCACGGAAACATCTTCCGACAGCGCTGGCTCTTCGGCTTTGAAACGGAGATGAGCACCGCAACCCTAGAGTCGGACTCGACTGGCTTTCGAGCAAGGGAACCTTTACCTTTACCTTTGATGGGTTAATTTGGGCATTTGCACTCTAATTATGACAGTTCAATTGCAATTTGTATTCTAATAGGTAGGGATAGCTGGGTGTTTTTTTTAAAAAAAATCTGACATCTAGGACAGAGCACCTCTGAGCATGAAGAGAGCACCATTCTGCTTTAACAAAACACCTTTGGAAAGCCAGCTTGGTGTTTTTTTTTTTTTTTTTAAAGAAACAGTGTTCAGGGAGGGACTTTGGCTCAGTGGTAGAGCGTCTGTTCCGCATGCAGAAAGTCCCAGGTTTAATCCCCAGCATCTCCAGCTGAAAAGGAACAGGCAGTAGGTGATGTGAAAGACCTTGCCTGAGACCCTGGAGAGCTGTTGCCAGTCTGTGCAGACAGTACTGACCTTGAGAGACCAAAAGTCTGATTCTGTGTAAGGCAGCTTCATGCAGAAGGTCCCAGGTTCAGTCCCTAGCATCTCCAGTTAAAAGGGCCAGGCAGTAGGTGATGCAAAAGACCTCCGCCTGAGACCCTGGAGAGGACCACTGCCAGTCTGATACCGACCTTGGTAGACCAGTGGTTTGATTCAGTGATAAAGACAGCTTCAGCTGTGCATTCGTGTGAATATCCTCATTTTTCTGGACAGGGAAGAAAGAGTCCTGCATCATTGGCGAAACAGACCAGCCCCGTCTTGTACAAACTACAGCGGAGCAATTCCTTTGTTTTCTGCTCTTAGAAGACCAAGGGCTGAGTGGGGCGAGGCCTCAAAGAGAAGGGTGGAAGCCGAAAAGGAAACAGAAGCGTCTACACAGTTGCCCATAGCTACTAATCCAAAGAGCAAGCGGCCACCATTGATGTGGTCTCTTCGTGCCTGTCACTGGGGATTAAGGAGTGGATGCAGCCCCGGGCTTCCCGCCCCTTTGCTAGGCAGCCAGCCAGGGACTGAGTGTGGCTTTTAAGCATGTCCTTTCTCTCACAGTTGGCCCAGGATATCGGGTGCCTGTCTGCAGTCTGCAAAAACTCTACTTTGTGAGCTCCTGGCATTAAAGTTGCGAGCGAGCGATCTGGCTGCTGCATAAATTAATTTGCTCTGGAGCTGTCCTCCCTGAGCCAAGACAAAAATCTGTGAGCTGGAGGCTAAAAAACTGTGAGCTAGCTCACACTCACTCAGCTTAGAGGGAACACTGGCCATAACAACCCAACAAAGAACCCCCTACACACAATTCACATCTAGGCAGAGCAGGGGTCATTTCGTAGAAAAAGAGCTAGGGGAACTCATTAGCATAACTCATTAGCATATGCCACATCCCCTGACATCACCGGGAGTGTGTCATAAGGCCACACCCCCTGACATCACCGGAAGTGTGTCATAAGGCCACACACCCCGCCCCCAACGGTCCCGGCCGCCGCCGCCGGCCTTGCAGCTCCACTGCCGAGCTCCATGAGGGGCCCGGCGGTGGACCTGCAAGGC